GACATAGGGTCCGATAGGGGATGGAAACTTACCTCTATGCTTTATGCAATTCATGAAAATGTTCATAAAAAGTCATGCATTCTTGTACATTGCATCATCCATAGAAATATAGGCTGGTGGTATGCAATAGTAGGTTTAATATATATCGAGAGAGTATATTGGATAGGTTTAGGAACATTGAATTGGCATTTTGTTCCATCGATTCGTTGAATTTGTGAAATTAGGGTTTTTAATAGTCAATTGGGGATTCGAGTTCTTAATGATTTCATTTCGATTCTTTTCAATACAATAGTTCTAAAATTGCATATTTACATTTCAGTTGCGTGCTTATTTCATTAGATTAGTGAAATTTCGAAATTAGGGTTTCCTATTTTGAAATTAGGGTTTTCTTTGCAATTAGGGTTTCAAATTGGGGATTTTTTCCGAAAATTAGGGTTTTTCACATTTAAACCAAATTTTCATTCAATTAGATTCGGTTAAGGTCACATTAGTCTAATTAGAGCTAATTCAATCCTCGTGGGAACGATACTTGGACTCATAGTCCATTTTACTACTTATTAACGAACCGTACACTTGCGGTGGGTTTTAAAATCGAGAACAAATAATTTCACGAACATAATGCTTAAGGCATTGTCCATTTGCCTGGAAGTTAGACCCATCCTTGCTCACTAGCTCTACTGCACCATAAGGGAACACCTTACAAATCACAAACGGTCCCGACCACCGTGATTTAAGCTTGCCTGGAAAGAGTCTCAAGCAGAATTTAAATAAAAGGACTCGTTCTCTTGGCTTGAATTCCCTCCTTAATATTCTCTTGTCATGCCACAATTTTGTTCGTTCCTTGTATATTTTTGCATTTTCATAGGCATCATTCCAAAATTCCTCTAATTCGTCTAGCTGCAACAAGCGTTGTGGCCCGACCAATTTCATGTCTAAATTCAACTTCTTCACAGCCCAGTAAGCTTTATACTCTAATTCCACCAATAGATGACAAGCTTTTTCGAATACTAGATGGTAGGATGACATTTCAATTGGTATTTTAAAGGCAATTCGGTATGTCCAAAGAGCATCATCTAGTTTGAGGGACCAATCCTTGTAGTTGGTGTTGACTGTCTTTTCCAAAATCTGCTTAATCTCTTTGTTAGATACCTCTGTTTGCCCATTTGATTGTGGGTGAAAACCAGGTGCCAATTTGTGCTTGACATTGTATTTAGCGAAAAGAGAATTGAACAACTTAGTGTAAAAATGCGTACCTTCATCACTTACTATCGCCCTAGGCGTGCCAAACCGAGTAAAGATATGTTTCTGTGGAAACTTCAAAACTATCTTTGCGTCATTTGTTGGTGTGGCAATGGCCAAAGGATGCGAGAATGGACCCATCAAGTCTATAACGTCAAATAACTCTACCTCAAGCATATTAGTTAGTGGCAGCTCATGATGTCTTGAAATGTTTCCAGTGCACTAACAAAGATCACACGTCTTCGCAAAAGCATAACAGTCTTTGAATAGGTTTGGCCAATAGAATCCAGATTGTAACACTTTCGAAGCAGTGCGTGTAGGACATAAATGACCTACATAAGGTGAGGAATGACAACACTCCATAATAAATTGTGTCTCTTCCATAGGGACACATCGCCTGATTATTCTATCCGCGCACTTCTTGAAGAGTGTCGAATCATCTCATAAATATGACTTGACATTGTGTAGGAATTTCTTCTTTTGATGGGAGGTCAAGTCAGGTGGCAATTTTCTAGATACCAAATAGTTAACAAAATCAGCATACCATGGGATCTTTGATGACACCGGTAACAAGATCTTGTCAGGAAAAGTCTTTCGAATTTGACTCTCATCGACCACCTTTTCATTCTCTAATCATGAGAAATGATCTGCAACAACATTCTCACTACCTTTTTTTTTATCCTGATATCTACATCAAACTCCTGTAGTAGTAGTAGTATCCATCGAATTAGGCATGGCTTGGCATCTTTTTTCTCAAATAGATATCAAATTGCAGCATGGTCAGTGTAAATGATCACTTTGGTTCCAATGAGATAGGATCTGAATTTGTCACATGCAAAAGACTATCGCTACCATCTCCTTTTCTGTTTTGGTGTAGTTCAATTGAGCTCCATTAAGGGTTTTGCTAGCATAGTGGATTGCCAGGAATATCTTATCATGCCTTTGTCCTAAAGCTGTCCCTACGGCATAGTCACTAGCATCGTACATAACCTCAAACTGCTGATCCCAAGCTGGTACTACCATCACTGGAGTAGTAACTAGTTTTTCCTTTATTGTTTCAAATGCCTTTAAGCAGTTTTCATCAAACACGAATATTTTGTCCTTCTCCAACAGGTTGCATAAGGGTTTAGCTACCTTTGAGAAGTCCTGGATAAACCTCCTGTAGAATCCAGCATGACCCAAGAAACTTTGAATGCCCCTGACATTGGCGGGTGGTGGTAGCTTTGCTATTGTATCAATTTTTGCCCTATCAACTTCAAGCCCCTTTGCATGGTGGCCTAGCACAATTCCTTCTTGTACCATGAAGTGGTATTTCTCACAGTTAAGAACCAAGTTATTTTCCTCATAGCGTTGCAACACTAACGAGAGATTATGCAGGTAGTTATCAAAAGAAGTACCAAACACAGAAAAATCATCCATAAATACCTCCATGATGTCCTCCACCATGTCTACAAAAATCGCCATCATGCATCTTTGAAAAGTAGCCGGTGATTGCATAGTCTGAATGGCATCCGTCTGTAGGCAAAAGTGCCATAAGGGAAGGTGAATGTTGTCTTTTCTTGATCTTCTGGTGCTATTACATTTGATTGTAATCTGAGTACGCATCAAGGAAACAATAGTGAGAGTAACCCACTAATCTATCCAACATTTGATCAATGAACGGGAGTGGAAAATGGTCCTTTCTAGTTGCATTGTTCAACTTCCTGTAATCAATACATACCTCCAGCCAGTTATTGTTGTTGCTGGAATTAGCTCATTATTGTCATTCTTAACTATTGTCATCCTACTTTCTTTAGTACTAGTTGTACTAGACTAACCCATTCACTGTCTTAAATAGCAAATAAAATCCCTGCCTTCAATAGCTTTAATATCTCCTCTTGAACTACTTCTTTCATGGCTGGGTTTAACCTTCTCTGATGTTCAATGGATGACTTGTATGAATCTTCCATGAGAATTTTATGCATGCAAATTGTAGGACTTATTCCCTTGATGCCAGCTATGGACCATCCCAAAGCAGCCTTGTGTTCCCTCAACACTTTCAATAATCTGTCTTCTTCGTCCCTTGTAAGTGATGAAGAAATAATAACTGAAGATGTATAATTGTCCTCCAAGAATGCATAGCGAAGGTGATTTGGTAATTGCTTCGGTTCAATTTTGTTGCTTGCATCACTCTCTTTATCATTTGATCCCACTGACTGCTTAATATCTTACATTGTGACGGGTTGCCCTCAATTGGTGCAGATTCAAGAGGCAATATGCAATCAACTAAATCATTGCTTCCTGCGTACATTTCAAAAGTTTCTATGTCATCCTTTGTTTAACATCATACACTGTTCCAAGGGGCCCTCAATGCATAATTGCTCTTTTCTCACAGCAGAATCGATGAAGTCAATTCTATGGCAAGTGTTAGTGTCATCCGCGTACTTCATTGCTTGGTAGATGTTGAATCTCACTTCTTCTTTATTCACTCTCAATGTTAGATGCCCTCCTTGTACATCAATCAATGCTCTTCCTATTGCTAAAAATGGCCTACTTATGATAAATGGGATTTCTTGATCTTCTTCCATATCTAATACAATAAAATCAGCTGGGAAGATAAATTTGTCGACCTTTACTAACACATCTTCAATAATCCCTCAAGGTATGTAAGGGATCTATCAGCTAGTTGTAGAGTCACTGTTGTTAGCTTGACTTCCCCAAGGCCTAACTTCTTGAACACCGATAAAGGCATCAAGTTGATGCTTACTCCAAGATCACAGCGGATTTTGTCAAAAGAGGAGTCTCCAATGGTGCAGGGAATAGTGAAATCGTCTGGATTTTTTCTCTTTTGGGGAATTTGCTTTTGAAGGATAGCACTGCATTCTTCTGTCAATTTCACTGTTTCATACTCCTCTAACTTTCGTTTTGTTTGACATCACTTCCTTCATAAACTTCGCATAGTTCGGTATTTGTTCCAATGCATCTGCAAAAGGAATATTAATGTGAATTTTCTTGAAAATTTCCAAAAATTTAGCAAATTGATCATCAATTTTTTTCTTTTGAAAATGTTGTGGGAATGAAAGTGTTTGATGATTAGTGGGTTGTCAGGAAATGATATGGAAGCCTAATAGTGTTCCTTTGGGTTGACTTCCGTATCACTTGGAAATTTTTCCTAGCCCAATGCCAAACACATGCGTTTCGATGTTGTCTAAACGTGACTCATCCTTGTTGAAGCGCGATCTTGTTTCAGAGATAAAGGTCCTAAGGATGTCTTCTAAGGATGGTTTCCCTTCAGAATTCTGAGTGTTGAATCCAGGTGGAGGTTGAAGTGTGTTTCTGTTGTTGCCATAAGATAGATTTTCATGATTTCTCAACCTAGGATGATGGTGATTAGAAAGGTAGTTTCCTCTCTAATTGTAATTCCTGTTGTTGACATATTGAGCTTGCTCACTTGCTATCTCTGTTTCCTGGTGTGATGTGAGGCAGCCATAACTGAATTTGCTTTCTGTAGGTTTCCTTGAGTGGTAAGTGTGGCTATCTGATTTGTGAATGATGAAACCTGAGCTGTTGATGCTTTAATGGGATCCACTTAATGAAGTCCTACTGCTCTTTTTACACTTGACCTCTCACTTGGCCATTGGTAACTATTTGTGGCTATGTCATCCAACAAGAAGTATGATGCATCTGCTGTTTTAGCAATTAAAGTGCCTCCCATAGCTGCATCTACTACAGTTCTTGTCTGCCCATTTAATCCATTGTAGAATATTTCAATCTGCATCTAGCTTTGAAATCCATGTTGAGGACATCTTCTAAGGAGGTCTTAGAATCTTTCCCAACCTTCATAAAATGGTTCGAAGTCAAATTGTCAAAACTGACCAATTTCACTTCGAAGTTGAGCTGATTTGGATGGTGGAAAGTACTTGGTAAGAAATTTCTGAGCCAGGTCATCCCAAGTTGTGATTGACCCGTATGGTAATGACTGGAACTAGGCTTTTACCTTATCCCTCAAGGAGAAAGAGAATAGACAAAATTTGATTGCATCTTCAGTAACTCCGTTCATTTTCACTGTATCACAAATTTCCAGAAATGAGCCCAAGTGAGCATTTGGGTCCTATGTTGGACATCTTCCAAATTGATTCTACTGCACCATATGTATAAGTCCTGGCTTCAACTCAAAATTGTTTGCAGCAATAGCTAGGCATACGATGCTGGAGTAATTGTCATTAACAATGGCTCTAACGTAGTCACAAATAGCTCTTTCTTGATTATCTTCATTAGCCACTCTTGCCTCTTGTTCTACCATAATTTCACGTTCGCCTCTATGTATACACCTTAGAAAGTGGAATGTGTGTTCTAGTTTAGGATCAACATGTAGTAAGTCAAGATTTCTCGCTCTTCGCATAAACGGCTGAAAATAAAAACAAGGAAGCTATTAGAAATAAACACAAGAAAAATAAAATAAAAAAATAAAAATTAAATTTAAGATAGAAATCCAAATTAAAATGAAAGCTAATCAGTAATAATATCAATCGAATTCAAATGAATATTGCCCCGGCAATGGCGCCAAAAACTTGCCATGCGTTTTATGTAACGTGATTTTCCGCAAGTATACGGTATCAAGTTTTGTAGTATATTGATAAAATAAAAAGTATCGAACACACAGGGATTGACAATTGAATCCTACCGAGTACTATAATGATTTTGGCTTTTCACTTTATTTAGACAATCAAATGTCGAACAGATGATTTTATACTAAACTAAAATATCTGGATTAAAGAGTTCAAGTAAAGTGCAGCAATTTCTAAAAACTTGATCAAATGTATGAATGCCTAGGGAATGATTTCACCATATTCTCAACGATGTTTTTCAACTTCTATAGCTATTTCCATAAATTCTTTTCTAGATTTATAGGCAAGAATCCAAAATTAATTCTATCCCCTATTAGAATTTATCTCTATATTTTAACCCCAATATCTCTCTTCCGAATTAAACATATAGAAATTATCAAACATTTGGTTCTTGAAATGAATTGGCCTCAAAGATTCGTACTTTCTCTTGAAACCTACGAATTCTAGGTTATGTCATTCTTAAATCACGCTTAAATTTCCCTCTCTCAAGCACCAAACTTAAAGCATTAAATCATTCAATTGTTGATCAGGCTTGAAAACATTAAGCAAGAACAACATAAATAAATTTCA